CATCCTCCAAATACCTTTTAGCCTTTGTCAAAGGCAACTTCCGAATTGCAAAAGCTGTTTCCCTTGTATTCTGAAAATATAAATGAGGAAACCAAAGGTTAAAAAGCAAAGGAAAAATGAAATCTTTATTCAACAAATAGATGGACAATATTTATGTCTCAAAGCTATGGTCAACATGACATCAAATTTGACAGTTTAAGAATGTTGACACAAGACATTATGTGACGAAATCACCAGAAATCATTTTTTCATTGCATGAAACCACAAGTAGGAAAACAAAAAGAAAAACCAAAAAGGAAAGCAGAGAAACATAAGAAAGCAAAACATAAAGTTTTGACAAACCAGAGAGAAACTAGTAGAAGAAGAAGTCACTTTGTAAGGAAACCAAAAGACAAAGCCAAGGCTATAATGCATTCAAATTAAATAGCATTACAAAATGACTAATCAACTGAGCTAATGCATAAGATGTCTTTTTTTGGGGAGGGGTTGCCAGAACCTTCAGCAACCAAAAGATCTATGGAGATTCACCCAATAACAATGAACTAATTTTTCCGATGCTTACAAGAGGCCTGCTCATAGAAAGCATTCCATCAGGTTTTGTTTTTGTGATGGTTAAGTCAAGCAATCCTTACTAGGATTTTGAAATTAGAACTACTCTTGCATGGTGATGGAGAGGCCAGGATTTGAGTAAGCAAAGGCTCAGCAACTTGTCAGGTCTATCCACAAAATATGAAGCCCTGAATTACGGTTTATAGTTCAATTTCTAAAGTTTAGTCAACTACAAGTCTCACAATTCTATCTATAAAGGCTCCATTAGTAAAACAGTTGAACATGACAAAATGTGGTTTTGAGTGTAATTGGAAGGAAGGAACAAATATATTATTTAGGAATTAAAGCAAACAAAAAAAGTAGCTCTACTGGAACTGACAAGAGAAAGGTCAGCATTTCAATTTTCACCTATCACCTGAACTGACGGTAATATTCTATTCAACCCTCAGATTTGTGATGACGAAACTTGTTATAAGGACTGAAAAGATTTAGATCGTGGAGCAAAGCACAATTATTAGCTCCACTACATTTTAACTCATTTTGCCTTATAAACAGAAAAAAAGAAAGAGTAAAGATGCATTCTAGAAGGCATAAAACTAAAGCACAGAACTCATACATCAATAACAATAAAAAATGGCTTCACGTAATAGACAACCTAGGGCAAATAACACAGTTTACTGTAAGATTATCGTCAGTGACAGTGTCAAATGGCGATGGTTATGTTGCAATAACTCATCAATGAAACTTTTTAGCGATTACCGGATGCATCAATTCATCTATTATAAGATTATCGTTGGTGCTAGTGTAAAATCCCGATAGTCATGTTGCAAAAACTCATCAATGAAACTTTTTAGTGATTACCGGATGATTAGTGCACTACACATCATAACCGATCAGTAGAACATAATTTTAGACAGAGAAAATTGACGGAGGAATCATCCAAAAAAACCTTATGAAGGATACAACTGAAAGACAACTGAATTAAGGTCAGCATACCTTAAAATGAACACGTAGATCAGAGCCCCTGGCTTTGCAGGCTGAAAAGTGAATAAGAGCGTAAAGCAATATGAAAGATATTTGTAAGTTCAAATGACAAGAAGCCTCGAAAATGTGCTAAATCAATCAAACTGGTTGCTTCCAACAAGATCTAATGAAACAAGAAAATAGAAACCGAAAAAGAGTTTATGCTTACACTTGGTGGGATTGTCTGGCTCTCTGGAATACTTCACCTGAAAAAATTAAGAATACGCCATGAGAATCCAAAAACAAACATCAGAAATCCAAACACCCAAACATCACCATACAAACAATTTAGACAAGCTTTTTTCTCGAAGCCAATCATTCCCGATTCTATTCAAAAAAATGGAGAAAACGAAAAAACTACTCCAATATTGACGACGACAACTAACCATGGCGGCTCCTGCTGCTGCTGCTGCTTCTCCTACCCCGACGTCTTACCTAGTGACCAAAGAGAGGGAGGCAAGTTTGCAATAGATATATAAAATGAAAACCTAGTGGCATTCTTGCTGCTTTGTTGCTAGGGTTTATGCAGATTTTGGGCTTAAGCTTGGGCTTGTCGTGGTTTTTGGCAGACCAACCCAATATATTATTCCATGGGCTTCATTATTCTCTAAATTCATGTTAATTATCTAATAAAATTAGTATTAAATTAAAATTTATGCGAAAATTAAATATAATTAATTAAAAATTATATTAACGCCATATTCTATGTGTAATTAAGAGACAAAATTATCCTTAAAACAATTATGAGAATTCTCAATTAAGATATTTCAAAATGTTAATGAAATTTTTCATTAATATAATTCATATGTTAATATTTTTTATTATAAAGTTTTAAATTTTAAATAAAAATTTAGTTAAAGTAGTTTTAACTATGATAGAATTTTTGATAAGTTAATAAATATAATTTTTATTTTAGATCAGTTTAATTATAGTAAAATTAAATTGACAATTATTTGAATTGCAATGAACATATTTTTAATTACGTACCATTGCAATTGGGTAAATTTGTTTTTAATCTAAATTAAATTTTCAGTGATTATATATTTTCGATTAAACTTATTAGTTTTTTTCTTTTTTTTTTTTGTAAAATTTATAATTAAATAGTTGGCATAATTTTAATAAATAAAATTTTTAGTTAAATATTTAGTATAATATTTCATGGACGTCCTCTTCCGCCAAAACTAAAGACTCCTCATCCCTAAAAGGTCAAACGACGTCGCATCCTTCATTTCATTCCCTTGCTCGTCTTCTCCGCCTGAAACACAGAAAAATGAACCATAAACACAAGTGGAAAGTAACAGAAGAGACAGCGAGCAAAACAGAGGAGAAAGGGACAACAGACATGAGCTGAGAGTGTTTGCACGGAAAATAAAATTCAGAAGTGAAATAAAAAAAAGAGCACTAGAGGCCAATTCGACGGAGGAAGAAGGCAAGGACGCATCTGAGGCGAAGCAGAAGAGAGAGAACTGTACACCTGGGAGTTTGATTTCTATTTCGTAAGATAACTGTGCGAATCCTTAATTTGAGTAAATATAATCCAACTTGGTTAATTTCATGCTAAATATTTCCAGGGTTTATTGTGTGCGTATGAAAGCGTCTTCCTTTTTATTCAAACGTGGAGCGGATGAGATTGAATTGTGCACAGCCTGTTACGTAAGCGGTAAATACTTATTTCATTTCCTACTGAATTTTGCTTGATGTTTTCCAGTCTTTTTAGGAGTTTAAGAGAATAGTAAGAAAGAAATAGGGGTTTGTAAAGTAAGGTAGAGGAAATTAGAGAAGACAAGTTAAGTGCTTAATGAAATGTCGTTTGAATCTAATTACAATAAAGAGAAGGCTGAATCTCACTTTCTTTAATAAGTTGTATGTTATATAGGGTAGGTTATTTAGGAAATTCAACTTTAAAAAACTTAATGAAATTCTCGCAACCCTTCAAATTGGAGGGATGAATAAATGGAAGTTTAAAGGGCTTAGGAAGGACTGCTTGCTCCTTTAGTCTGGTTTACTCTAATTTATTCTTTTAAAAAGACTTTTAAACAGAGTTTTCTAAATACTCTATCCAACCTTACTAACCTTAAGTCTCAAAATAAAGCTCAAAAACACACTGCTAGTGTTTGATATTGTGTTCAGTTCAATGACTAATCCTTCATTAAATGAAATAAGTGAAAGTGGGCATTCGATCTCTTCTTTCTAAAATAAATATGGTTAGTTGTATTAATTTGCATTGAGCCAAGATTGTTGAATTAGAACATGGGTTATTGAGTTTGTGTTTGGTAAGTATATCATTTTGTTAATGCAACCACCATTGAATTATTGAACATGCATTTTTTTGGCAAATATATCATTTTCTTAAGCTCCAATTTTCATAATAGAAAGATATCTTGGACGAAAGCTAAGGTGACTTTCTGCTAAGAAGGAACATATTTGATATCGAGTAATTGTTGAATCTGTTCGAACTATGTTATGCTCACTGGGTATATGGCAAAGAGGTTTTCAGATAATGTTTTGTTTTCAGGTTGCTATTTGTTTTTTTTCCTTACAAACATAAATCTTCAATGTGTTTGAGCTCATTTTTTTCCCTCTGGAATCTGTTTCAAAATTTAAAAATGAACAATTGATGAATTTTGATGGAGAATATGTTGAATGTAGGATTGGTTTTTGTAGCCACTTTCCTTCTCACGAATGAATGAGATTTCTGTTCAAACTTAACTGTTCAAATCATTCTGGTGGCCTGGTTCGTCTCTCTCTTTTGGGTAAACTTAAGGGAAGATAGCACTTCTTCGTTGATAGCTAGGATGTGTGGTATATTCCTTGAACAATTTGCCAATATGCATGTATGAGGATTATACATGTAGAATCTAAGGCATGATCAGATTCCCATCCAGGATAATACTTCTGCTCTTATATTCATTACCATTTTGAATTAAGAATTTAACTGAACACTTGTGATTTTGAAAAAAAAAAATTCCCTTTAATATATATGTGATTTTGAGCACTACATCGAGTTTAATTTTGCAAATAGGTGACTATATTCTTTCATGTTTTGTACAATACTACAAGTCCATGCTTTTGAAGTTATTAGGTCACAAATATAGACGACAAATTTTCACATAGCATTACTGAGGGTAAGTTGTATGGTGTTGCAATCTCCTCTCATTGAATAGATTGTGTTCTCATGATGCCAAACAATTAGAACTAACTAAGCATGATATCAGATCCAATCCAAGATAACCCAAAATGCAACATAAAAATAGGTCTGAGGTCGGCTGATACTAACGATAATCTTATAGATAAATGGGTTATTTGTCTTCGTTTCCTGTTATGTGAATTTGCATTTTCTTTATAGTTTTAGGTTCGGTATTATGTCTGTTTTCATGCATGCTAGAAATGCATCTTTACTTTTCTACTGAAAAGGGAAAATGAGTAAGATGTGATAAGTAATGATTATAATAGAGCCAATAATTGTGTGTTGTTCCACTAAGTCCTTATAACAATTTTCATCATCATGATCTGAGGTTTGAATGAATCATAACTGTCATCCAAGTGATAGGTGAAAGTTGAAATGCTGACTCTTTCTTGTCAGTTCCAGTAGAATTGATATTTTGTTTGCTTTACTTTCTAAATGGGATATGGGCGGCTAGAAATGGAACATTAAAAGTTCTTTTCTATTGTACTCCAAACCCCATTTAGTCGTGTTCTGCTGTTTTATTGATAGAAGCTGTATAGATAGAGTGGTGGAGCTTGTTGTCGACTCAGGTTTACAAATTGTGCTATAAGCTGTAACTCAGGGGGTTCATATTTCATAGGTAAACCTGAAAAGAAGTTAGAAGGCCTTTGTACTGGTCATATCCTGGCTTTTCTATGGGGTGCAAAAATATTCTATAAAAAAATTAAAACCTAATGGAAAGCATGGGTTTGTTGCTTTATATTAGTCGGACCTCTTATAAGCAACAAGAAGATTTTTTCATTGATATTGGGTAAAACTCTCTAGATTTTTGTTTGCTGAAGGTTCAGTAAGTAATGACATTTCGAAAAAATGTTTCTTACATACTAGCTAAGGTTTCTTATTTTCATTTTGTGATTTATTGAATCCAATCCATCTATCCTTTTCTAAACGATTTCTCTGATAATTTTCATTCTATATCGAATATGTTGTTGTGGTCGGTTATGATGTGTAGTGCATTAATACATTATACATCCAGTAATCAAATAAAGTTCCATTGTTGAGTTGTTGCAACATGATCATTGAGTTTTGGTGATTTTACTGACTATAATCTTGTTGATGAAATAGGTGATTTAGGTTTCTTGTTATCTAAAGAAGTGAAAAAGGAAAAGTAAAAACAGATGGCCACACAGCTGTACTACCATTTTGGAAGAATTTTCTCCACATTTTGTAAGAAAATTCTTTTTGTTAACATTTTTTATGTAATTCTCATTGGGCATAGATCTACAATGCGTTTTATCCGTTTATTTTCTTAACATTGCTTCTGTTTGCGCATCATCAGGAAGCAACACTGATTTTCAATTACTATTTCGTGCAACGTTGCTTAATTTCACTTTCTGATCCAAGAGTGGGGTCTGATTGTATCTCTCGATGCTTCTTGCCTTGGTCGTGGTTAAGTTGGTTTGAGTTTGATTGATCTTGGGAAGATAAGCTTATTTGAGCATAGTTACTGGAGAAGACAGCTACTTGTTTTTTCCATGTATTCATATGAATTTTTTTAAGTTGTGAGAAGTTATGGACTTTTTGCTGATTGGTGGGCAATGGGTTTGACTGACTTCTACATTTATCTATGGTAGCTGTTGGATAAGATCATGATTGGTATTTCTAGAGATTGCTTGAGGAATATTTACCATAAGAGAAAATTTGTCCAGGATGTTTATTCTGCAGGTTTATTTCATCAGCATCTTGCCTTGTTTAAACCCTTCTCTTGTTTTGCATTTCCTCCAGTATCTCCATTAATGCAGTGCTTTGCAGGTTCTAGTCATAGGGACTGTTCTAAGGTTAGGTTAGATTCTACAGACATCTTAGCTCATACACAGATGAACCCAAATGGCAAACTTGCTTCAAATCTTAGTTTAGGTGGAGGATTTGTGCCAGGTTCCTTCTATTCTTTATATTCAACTAAAGCCCCATCAAGATCATTGAGAAGGAGAATCAGGAAAAGAGAGAAATGTAATAGCAAAACAGTTCTTGATGAAGCACAATTTCAGCAAGCACTTTCCCTCCTCCTACCAAGATTTACTCCTGAAGAGCTCCACAATGTCATAGCTCTCCAAGAAAACCCTGTTGTGTGTCTTGAGCTATTCAATTGGGCAGCACAACAGCCGAGGTTTAAGCATGATATATCCACTTATCATATCACTATACAGAAGCTTGGCACGGCAAAACTTTATAAAGAAATGGACGATGTTGTTAATCAGGTCCTTGCTATTCATCACTTTGGTTCAGAGGCGCTGTACAATACAATAATCTATTATTTCACTGAAGCTAGGAAACTAAGTAGAGCTGTGAATATATTTAAGCATATGAGAAAAAGCAGGAACTTGGGCTGTAGGCCTTCAATTAGAACATATAATATTCTTTTCAGAGCATTATTGAGCAGGGGTAGCAATTCTTATGTAAATCATGTGTACATGGAGACTATTAGATGCCTATTCAAGCAAATGGTTGATGATGGAATTGAACCTGATATTTTCACATTAAATTCTATGATAAAAGGGTATGTGCTTTCTCTTCATGTTAATGATGCACTTAGAATATTCCATCAGATGGAGGTTGTTTACAACTGCCTTCCCAACTCATATTCCTATGATTATCTCATCCATGGCTTGTGTGCCCAAGGTCGAACAAGCAATGCTAGGGAGTTGTGCAATGAAATGAAGAAGAAAGGATTTATTCCGAGCAGTAAATCCTATAATTCTCTTGTGAGTGCTTTGGCTCTTTGTGGAGATGTTGAGGAGGCAGTGAACTGTATGTGGGAGATGATTGAAAACCAGCGGCTAGCTGATTTAATTACCTATAGAACAATTCTAGATGAAATCTGTAGACAGGGAAGTTTTGCTGAAGCCATGAGACTGTTGAATGATTTGCAGAAAAAAGATCTTGTGGATGAGCATGCCTACAGAGGTTGCTAAATGTTATTGATGATGATGCTGGAACTTAAACTTATCGAAATCCGTCCTAGAATTTAAAATTGGTTCATTAGAATTTAATTTAACTTTTTATCTATATCGCCTACGTTCCCCGGAATCAAGTCCTAATTGAGGAAAACTGAGTGGCTAGATGTTAGTGCACAACTTTGATCAACCTTCTTGCTTTAAGTTCTAAATGTGTTTAACAAATTTTCTTATCATGATTCTAAAACTTTTTATTAATTTATCATTTTAATTTTAGTAAAGTATCTTTAGATATGATAATCATCTATCAAGAATGCTTGTTATTGTTTATTTAAAAAAAAAAGAAAAAGTAATGCTTGTAATTGTATGTGATGCAGAATGGATTAGGTTTAGATTTTCTAAATAGATTAGTTGAATGTAGTTTTGTATACTATTTAGGATTTTAGTTTTTAGAATTTCAGTGATTTTAGATTTTATTCTTTTTAATTACTTAGTTTCCTATCCTTATTAGTGTAAGTTTTTGTTTAATCCAATTTTGGAGATGTTACTTAGCAATCACTGTAGCTGCTCTCTAATCTCACTTTTGAAAATAATTTAATCATTCAATTTCGAGAATTTTCTCAATCTTTCTTCTTGTGTGATGCATAAGGTTTCTCTTGTATAATATCTAGATTTTTGTTCTCAAATTTCTGAGTACTTAAAATTGATCCTAAGTTGTCCTACATCAGTAAAAAGAAAAGTTTAAGTATGTCAAGGAAGACTTCTTCTATGTGCAAAAAGGCTCAATTCTATGCCCCTTTTTGTTCCTATCCTATACACTTGAAATTGTTCAAATATTGAATAGGCAGTGAGACCCGTTTGTTTCCTTCTTATCATGGAAAGACAATAGATTTCCCTCCTGGAATTTAATTGGTAATTGCTTTCAAGGATAAAACTATCTTGGGATTGTCTTGGGTCGTAACTTCTTTTAACTACTTGATTTACTTAACTGCAATGGTTGATTCTTGACACTTATAAAAAATTTTCGAATTATATTCTTTTGTGGTGGATGCAGGTAGTTAATGCATTGAGTGGTTATGATCTGTTTGAAAGAAAAGAAGGAATCGTGTCTATTTTTCATTGGAGATTCCTTGGAAAACTTGTTGTACGCTTTTATAACTTCTTATGAAAGATACTTAATCCATCAAAATAGAAGTTAAAGAAGGTTTCTGATACTTGTCTTATCCTTTATATGGACATCAGAAGCCGTGGGGGATCATTTCTTTAGCTCGTACTGATAAAAATTTGACTACATGAGAACTTGAGCAAAATGCTGCTGAATTGGCCAAAGGTTTAAGAATCATCATATTTTAATGCCAGTCTTACTGTATTTATAATCCTTGGGATTTGCAATACAGCTTGTTGATAGTGCTGATTATGATGGGTTTAGCTGGAGGATGGAGCCATGAAACACAAGAAAGGTCACAGCCATTTACCTTCTTGAAGAACCTGGTGGCATCTACTATGATTTCAACTCGGATTGGTTGCTATTGATTCCAATCAAATTGGTAGTTCGCAGACCTTATTACTTAGAGACCATGCTGAGTGGGTGCAGAGGAAATTACAATTGCAGGGAAGAAAAAAAAGAAACTAGGATTGATTGTTAAATCTGCTTGTGTAGAACCAGCTGCAAATTGAAAGATCAAGTGAAGTTCTGCACGCTTGTATTTTATCTAATGACATTCTGTGTTGTCGGCATTAAGGTAATAGAATCTTTGTTATTGACAACTTTTTTGAGCTCATCGTTGTGCCGGAGTTGCTTTCTGATATGTACGAGGGTCATAGCGAATTTGGAACTTAGTTCTGCAGCATATACAACGGCTGATTCGGAATAATTTTGATAGCTTGTATGGTTTTGAATCATTTTTCGTATGCTCTTGCTTGCATCAAAGATTTTTCTTGGCGGTCTGGGATTGTGGCACTCTTAAAACAAAACATTATTTTGACAATCAATGTTCAGTTGAAGGGGGATAAGAAGCATCTAGAATCTACTGACTATCTATTTAAATTTTATTAAATTAAAAATTAAAATTGCAAAATTTATAAGAAGTTTAGTTAAAAATTAACATTTTATTAAAATAGGTCACTAATTATTTATATATATATAAAAATTACCTAATTTAAATTGTATTATTAATGTCTAATTAAATTTCTATTGAAATTTAATTATTTGATTAAAAATTCTGCTAATGTTAATTTGTTCAATTGAAACTATTTAATTAAAAATTCTATTAATTGGTTAATTCAAAACTTTATTGAATTCAAACTCACTTATGTTTAGTTATATTAATATATAATTAAAAATTTATTTATTCAAGTGTAATTATTGGAGAGATTCAAAAAAAAAAAAAAAACGACGTCGTTTGACATATCTAACACACATGTTTCTTTCAATAAATGTAAAATATTATGTATTGCTGAGATATTAATTACAAAAAGGAATTTAAAATAAACCAGTGAAATTTTCAGTCTCTTCGATTCATGTACATTTTCTCTTCGGCCCAGCCCAGTGCTGATTGAAGAGGAAAAATAGGATCTGGCCGTCGTCCCCAATCATCGCTCTTTGGGGATTTTTCTTTTCTGCAACAAACCAAAAATTCTCTCACTTCCAGACCAGATGAGATGACAGCTACCAGAACTCCTCTTTTCTTTTCCAATTCCGGTTTCACAATCAAAAACGATTTCCTCGATTGTTAGGTGATGATCATGTAGAGACAGATAAGGACTTGGATTCTCAATTGTAGCTTGTAGGGCAAATTTTTTGAGTCTTGCACAACTTCGAAGCAGCAGATTGGGTCGATTTTTGTATTTCCATGGTTAATTTTATTTCTCCATACTCAGAGCAAGTCAAACATGATTGGTGCGCACCATAGATGAGAATCTTCCTCCATGCAACACTGACTTCCATCTTTCTTCTGTCTATCTTCAAGGAAAAGAGGTGAGTACATTTTCTTCTGAATCGAAATTTAGCTTCCAAACCTAATTAAGATTCTCCATTGAGGAAATATTTGGCTTGAATGAGAGATATTTGGGGCTTCTTGGATTTGACAAGCCTAATTTAGCTAGCAAAGAGAGATTATACTCTCTCAATTTTCTGAAAGATATGAATAATAGTAACCTACATAAGAATGTTGGGGCACCATCCCCATTGAACCACCAGTCCCACCTCCCACAGTCTAAACCTCAACCACAAGTTGGTTCTGGTTCTTCTTTTCCGGGTCACTTCCAGTTGTCAGAACCTCAAGGCCATGTGCTTGCCCAGTCACAATATGTGCAGGCTCATCAGCAGGTCCTCTCTCAAGGTGCTCATTCCCAGTTCCAACCACAGTTGCAATCATTAGGTCAAGCACATACTCAGGTGCATAACCCAAACGCTGGTGCTACTGGAGTGTCATCCCCATCTGTATCAACGCCCGGCACAGCAAATGCTAAGAGAGCTACTCAAAGGCCACCTTCTAAAGCCTCTGCTTCATCCAACGCCACTACCTCGTCACTGTTTAAGACCATGGAGTTGGCACCTGCTGCTGTTAGAAAGAAGCGGAAACCTCCAGAAAGGCAGATACCTGATAAAGTTGCTGCAATTTTGCCAGAGTCTGCTTTATATACTCAATTGCTCGAGTTTGAGGCTACGATGGATGCTGCATTAGCAAGAAAAAAGATTGACATTCAAGAGGCACTTAAAGCCCCTCCTCGTATGCAAAAGACGCTTAGGATATATGTTTTTAATACTTTTTCTAATCAGGAAAAAGCCCCTCAGAATGATAATGTGGAGTCCCCCTCTTGGTCACTTAAAATAATTGGGAGGATATTGGAAGATGGTAGAGATCCTGTGCTAGCTGGGCCAATGCAGAAACCAAACTCTTCATATCCAAAATTCTCATCATTCTTCAAAAAGATTACAATATACTTGGACCAGAGTATTTATCCAAATAACCATGTCATCCTATGGGAAAATTCTCGTTCGCCTGCACTTCGTGAGGGATTTGAGATTAAGAGGAAAGGGGATAAGGAGTTTACTGCAATTATAAGACTAGAAATAAATTATTTGCCCGAGAAATTCAGACTTTCACCTGCACTGGCAGAAGTCCTTGGAATTGAGGTAGATACGCGTACAAGAATTATAGCTGCAATTTGGCACTATGTTAAGTCTAAGAAGCTACAGAATCCAAGTGATCCATCTTTCTTTATCTGTGATACTCCACTCCAAAAGGTGTTTGGGGAAGAGAAAGTGAAATTCTCCATGGTTCCTCTGAAGCTAGCACAGCACTTATCTCTGCCACATCCGATACACGTGGAGCATAGAATCAAGCTTTCAGGGGATTGTCCATCAGGAACAACTTGTTATGATGTGTTGGTTGATGTTCCTTTCCAGTCAGGGAAGGAAATGGGTGCTTTTTTAGCAAACATAGAGAGGCACAACGACATTGATTCTTATGATGAACTAATTGGTGCTGCTATACAGAAGATACAGGGGCATTATCGAAGGCGGGCTTTCTTTCTTGCGTTCAGTCAATCTCCAGCAGAGTTTATTAATGCTTTAATCGCTTCTCAAAGTAAGGATCTAAAGCTTGTTGCCGGAGATGCCAACCACAATGCAGAAAAAGAGGGACAATCTGATTTCTATAATCAACCATGGTAAGCTTTTCTTTTGTTTGCTTCTGAAAAAAAAAAGGTTCTTTCCTCCTTTTGTGTGTTTTTCCATGCGTGCATTTAAAGTTAAAATATTCCATATCTCCTAATGTTGGATAAAATGAAAGAGGAAAAGATATAAATCCTCCAATTCAGAAATCACAGATCAGTTTATTCTAATGGATTCTTATGAAAGATCTATTATAGCAAAAAGATTTCTAGTTTTTGTCAGGATGCTTTTTTCTATGTATGTGATATTTGAGCTTGGCTACTATCAAATGAATATTACCTCCTGTTCTATAGTTATGAATAGAATTTCCCCATGACCTGAGAAATAATTGTAGCTAAGAAATTGATGTCTCAGAAAAGAAATTGCAAGAGAGGAGAAACCCCATAATGTCACGATAAATTTTGGCTGTAAGTAAAAATACAGAATTCCTTGTATCTGGTTTCTTTCTTTTTATATAAAGAAAAACCTCAAAGAATCAAGACCTCTGCATGTTACCTCCATTTACTTAGGATTTTGCAAAAATGATCGGAGTGTCAATGCTATGCCAAATGATTGGTAGATCACTTTATGCATTAATTGTTGGAGTAGCACAAGCCAGTGTATGTGATGAAAGTACATTATCAAAGGCTTGTTAACACTATCTTTTTGTGAAATTTAAGGGTTGAAGATGCTGTTATCCGTTACCTGAACCGCAAGTCTGCTGGAAGTGATGCGCATGGGAGCACCTGAACAAGATTTGTTGAGTGGGTACCAGATCGAATGGACATTGAAGTTGGTAACTTCATATACACATCTACTCCTTTTCTACTTTTATTAGTTTAGAAGAGGAGTTTTTGGCAATGCTTGCATGGAAGAAACGTTAGGAGCATTCTGTCAGAAATAGTTTTCAATTGAGATGACATTGTATTATTTGCTTAATGCTAGTTTCTTGAGTTGATATTCCTCTTTCATTTCTTGGGGCTCATATCAAGCATCTTGAAATATATTGATTATCGAGATGTCATATTTGTCTGGTTCGAATTTAGGATATCTAATTATAATTAGTTCGATTTTTGGAAAAATAATGAATTAATGATTTGATAACTTTTAATATTTATATTTATTTATAAGTACATGAGGTATTGTGTCATTATTTTTTTGCTGGTTAAATTGAAATTCTTTGTTGTTTTGCTGGGTTTTTATAAACTTTTCTTTTATAGTCAACATGTGATATATATTTAATTATTATTATTATTTAACAATTGTTAAAAACTATGTTGAAATTATTACATTAAATTATCATTTTTTTAACTAGTAATAAAATCGGTTATAAGTACACAAAATCTAAATATTTTTTTTTTATAATTTACCTTTAATATCATTATATACAAATTATTTATGTCACACTTATTATAACATTTAATAGTGTTTCTCTATTCAATATTAGAAATTAGGCATACTATTACGATTATTTATACCTACATATATCTATATGTTTTGTATGCATATACATGATTAATATAGATTAACATTAAACATTAAGAAAAACATGTGGAATATGATATAATTAATTTAAGTTTAGTAGGGTAGAAAAATAAAATTTTCTAAAGCCATAAATATTTTGAGATTCTAAAGAGGATACGTTTCAACACCTCAGGCATATGATGCCTCTCATTTCACAACTTTTGAGGTTTCTGGAAGGACACGTCTTATCCAAAGTGATATTAATCCAAAGTGATATAAAAATATATATGTAAAGTAATATATATATAAATTAAATGTGAAAATAAAAATACAAAAGTTAAAATTTAATTTCTTACGTAATAATTTAAAATTTTTAATAAAATTATAAAAATATTCATTCTAAAAAAATAATTAAAAATTAAAGAAATAAATAAAAAAATAAATAATTGAGTAATTCTATAATGACCTTCACTAGCTTTTGAAGGTAGTCCAGTTAATGAACTATTCACAACCCTCTTATTGTTTGAGATCTGGATCTTACTCTTCTTGATCTAAAATAGTTAATGAATGAGTAAGTTACACTAACCCAGTAAGAAAATCATACTAATTACAGATACAAAAAACTAAAGATTGGTAAAAATCAGAAAAACATCCAATGAATCCCTTAATTTATGTAAATTTATTTACTATAAAAAAATTATTTATTTCATATTTACGTAACAAGTTTTTATCTAAAAATAACATATGAAAATCATATCCATACATTTTTTATTATCACATATAAGATAACAAGAAACGATCATTTTTCATTTTTATTCGCTTATCAGTACCCCGAAGAGTTTTTTGGGATGTCTTTCTACTCGTGAACTCAACATCCAATTAAACAGTTAATCGGTCGTTCTCATACCCCGTCTGGTAATGGGCGCCAAACATTCCACTACCTCGATATCTCGTTCGATATGAGGGTAAACCATATCTCTCAAACCTTACTGATAAGAGACTTGTTAGTCCCTTCCGATTGAGGTAACGTTCACGGTAGGGTTCTTTATGTACCGGACCTGTCTACCTTTTTCTGGGTACCTAGTAAGTTTTTCTCATACAGATTTCGATCAGTATGACAATCAACCACGCAATAATTATATCTCATTTTATACTCACAGTACACTTAAATAACAATATAGTTTAACATAGTCAAATAACCAATGACCGAAATACCGACAAACAATGCAGGGAAAACAAATAACTAAATAACTAAAAAGACCTTAAAAACTATCAATTCAGTAATACACAGTATAATAATAAATAAATATAGACAATACAAAAAAATAAACAGGAAATCGAACGATCGTGAACTAACCGGTTTCGGCTCTACTAGTGACCTGTAATTATTTTTAAACTTATTTAATTTTTCATAAAAACACACAATTATCAATTACTAAGCCTTAATTTACCGTAACAGAGAAAATAGTGAGAGATCCTTACTTGAATCGGTATTTCGGGATGTCGCACTGTCTACTATGTTTTTTGACGGGTATCAGGTTTCTTAAATTTTTTATACGAAAATTAAAACACTTATCACGTACCTAAAAATATCATAAAAAATCAAAATCGGTGTCTAAAACTTGTTTTGGCCAATTTTGGGGTTCCGGCATGACACCAGCTTTGTCACCCACAGTAGCGGTTCACCTCGGCCTAGTCGATTTTAGCAAATTTTTAAGCAGTTTTGACCGTATCCCTACAAAAAAATACATCAGGACCTGGGTTGGCCCAAAAACCATAGAAAATCGAACTCATCGGTAGAGGGGACCTCCAGTGC